TCGCTCTTTCAAAACATTGAGAAAGTGATGGTAGCTAGTGAACAAAAAAAGAGGGCAAGTCAAGGGAAGCCTCATTGTCTTAAAAATCTCACCCTCTTTAAACTTGTATGTACACATATGAATACATCCCCTTGATGATTCTACTATTTTTTTCGCCTCAAATTTCAATGCTTATATGTTTGTGTGCGTTTAGAAGTTTAAGGCCTATGGTTTATTTTGCAGAGTAATCATGAACAGAGCATGGCCATTAGGGAGGCTCTTCTATACATAGCCATCCTCAAACTCAAGATAAAAGCTTTGCAGAGAGATTTCAAGATTATCAAAAGAGAGCTTTTACACCAGTTTCAGGTTTCTCCTCTCATCTTTCTTTACATCATTAGTAAAGCTGTCCTATGTACATTACATAGTCATATATTTATAGATCTATCTTTGACCAACTGAGAGTATGTTTTCTTCATATGAAACATTGAAGAGTTCAGTACACCGATTAAATTCAGATATTTTCTTACACCGAGACACCAAAACCAACTTTATTCATATAAAGCAAGTAGATCCATATTTATTAGGATTTAGTTAGCTTTCTTTATAGGGTTTAATTTCAAATCAATTCGCTGATAGTTTAAATGTTAAAAAAATTTATTGACTTGGGCAGGAGGTGAAGGTGGAGAAGATTGGGGAAAAGTTTCAAGTAAAGATAGAAAGTCAAAAGGGAGAGAATAAGCTTGTGAATATCCTAGAAGCATTTGAAGAAATGGGGTTGAGTGTGGCTCAAGCAAGGGCTTCATGCCAAGATTCATTTTCCATGGAAGCCATTGTTGTTCCTCAATCCAAAGACAAGTTGTGGAGTGTGGATGATATGACTCAAACTCTTGCTAAAGCTCTTGTCAAGCCAAGTGGCCCACTCTAACATTTAGAAGAAACAAATAAAACTACAATGGCTTAGAAGGAAAAAAAGGGGACAAAATATTGTACTTCACTTACTGGTGAGATTGCTCGGTTTGTTTTAGTGTTCACTGTTTAGATTCTTGGTATAT